CCAACAAGCAAAGTGCAGGCGCGGACGCCGATTCTACTGGTAAAGCAAGATGAGAGGTGAGAGTTTTGATTCAGAAAAAATGTTATTGCAAAATATGCAATTAGAATAATTTAGGTAAATAAGGAGGTGAAATCTAATTTAAAAGTACTTATTCTTATATATTTTTTGTAAATTTTTAAAGCATAGAAAGTTCAACTTATGAAGTAAATACATTACTTAACAAAAATATGTCAAGTATTAGTAAAATACAGAATATCAATAAATGAAATGCTATTTTGCGAGAATATAAAATAGTTTCAATGTTTATAATAATTTGTTATATAATAAAATAACTAAAAAAGAATAAGAATATTGTGGATAATGAAAATTTAAAGAATCAAGATTAAATTGAAATTTGTTGGAACGTTTATTAGATTTAACAAATAATTAAAATATAAATGAATTTTACATTTTCATTTAATATAAAATTAAAGTAAAAAATGGGATGAAAAATTGGCAGAATTTAAAAAAATCTGAATAGAGAATAATTCAATGTAAAATGAAAAAATCAAAAAAAAATGAATTTGACTATATGCCCTCTCAAAAAATTATATATTTAGTTAGTGAATTTATTATTTAAATTATAAATTCAGTAAAAAAAAGAATATATTAATTTTTTTAATTTCCTACTTATTCCCAAAAATTACATAAAAATTGAAGAAAAATCATTTTTAATAATGATTTGTAAATTTTGCTTTGAATATGGATATTACTAATCACATAAAGTGAAATAGATAATTGATAGGAATGAAATCGTTTGGAGTTGAGAAATATTATTGATTCTCAAATTCAGACATCTTAAAAATTGTTCTTTTTTAATTATGAAAAAAATAAAATATAATTACATTATTATAAATCTCAGTCTTAACAACATATTATAATTCCATAAAAAGCTGTGATAGAAGCTGTAATTACTTGATCATTTTACAATTTAAACTAATTTATAAAAATGTTGATTTACTCTTCCTTTTTATATTTGCTTAAGCACATTCAAAACACAAAATGGGTAAGGAAGAGTAAAAACTAAAAATAATGTTATTTATTTTAAAAATATCCCACATATGCCAATAACTAATAGTTGAGCTACAAACACATCTAAAAAGTTGATATTTAAATATATACAAATCATCTTAATACAGTTTTATTCAAAGCATAAATATATCAAAATAATGAAATTACTAATGAATTTACACCTACATTTAATTAAAATATGATAAAAACAACCAAGGCTTTTATAATATAATATTTTACATCCCCAATAATCATGAATTATATACATTATAACACCTAAAATTCCAAAATAAAGCATTGTGTGATTCAAAATTAATCCAAATAAGATAAAAATGCTGGCGGTTGTCTATTATACTATATTCGAGTTACATTCCTAAAAGTTTCCCCAATTCCAATTTTTACGAGTAAAGGAACTAAGATCACGGAAATAAAAAGGAAAGCAAAAAAAACTATCTCAAGTCTTTCAATTCGAAATAAAGTGAAGCAGAATAATATGTATATCAAAAAGGCCACGATTGTCCAAAGGATGAAAATTCCTAAGATTTGCATTAAAAATTTCTTTTGTTTTAAAAATTCTTAATCTTTGATCAGATTTGATGTTTATATCGGCTACTAAGTCACTTGATAATTTGCAAACTCTTAATAAGGAGCTATCTGATTGAAGGAAACCTAAGGTTGAACTTAAATCTATTAGGAAAATTGATCCTAATTTTGTGTCACAACAGGTATAAATTTAACGTTTTAATTAGTATTCTCAAACAATTGTTATGATAGAGTTTCCTAAATTGAAATTGATAAGTCTGGATATTTTACTTATTGCATATAATGAATTTCAATATTAAATTATTTACCAGTCCAAAAATTATTAAATGAAAACTATATAGAATATTTTTCCATAATCCTTATTTGCAATTTTTATATTTTATAATATCATTAAATTACAAATATTATTTATTTATTTATTTATTTATTAAATACATATTATTATAAAAATATTAACAATTATTTCAGAATTGAATTTATAATTTTTTCTAGTCTTATAAGGATCTATTTTGTGTTATATGATTACTTTTGTATAGTGTAATTATTTCTAACAGGGGAAGTTAATTAGCATTTATGAATTCTACAGAATGGACAAGCCTGATTAAATAGTTTTTAGATTATCTTGTAGGTATTATATTAATTTCTCAAATGATTCTAGTTGATCAGAATTGATTACAAATTTCTTAGAATGAGTTGGAATCTTAATTGCCTTTTACTTAGTGTTTATTTAGATTATTGTATAAAAAAAAATTATAAGCTTGGCATAATGAATTCTAATAATTTAGTTGGGGTATTTCTTGGAGATCCAGTTAACTTCTTCATACTATATTTAAGGAGTTTATTTAATTGATTGTATAAGTTTTAGTATTTTTGAGTAGAGAATGCATTTAAGAAATAGTAAATGTGAGATCCAATTACACTTTTTGATGGATGGGTCTTAATTTCCAGTTACATTTTTTTAGTGATCCAAATGAGTCTACTTTTAACGTAATTTACTTTTTGTTTTAATATGTTAAGTCAGTTTACCATTAAATTTAATTGATATTCCTAGATATTTATATTCTTAACTCTATGGTATTATGGCAAATTTTAAATATTTGAGGAGTTATGATGAAATAGAAATATTCCAAACTTATTCTTCTTAATTTGATTTCAAAGTAAGAATATGTTAGTTTTAATAAATGTAGTAATTTTTTTTTGCATGTTTATGTTTATAATAAATACGATATCATCTGCCTATTTATAGCTTTAATAAGAGAACTTACATTTTTGTTTTATAGTTACTAGTAGCTCTTCAAATTAAATATTGAAAAGGGATGGAGGTAAAGGTGAACCCAGAGGTACTTCTTAATGAAAGTAATAATGTTCTTACGATTTTGGGTTTTATAGTGGTGATTTGTATACAAATTGTGAAAGTAGCTGATTTAGTCAATATCAAAAATTTAATTATTTTTTAATATTTAGAATAGTTTGGTCTATTCTTATCATTGATGCAATAGAAACGGTAGATAAATCTATAATAATGCAATTCATTTTATCTCCTATTTCGTATGAGTAGATTTGATTTGAAGTCTTACATATGTAGTCATATAACAGGACCCTTGAAGAAAATGTAGTACAATTTTGATGAACTTTTTACTCAATTAAAATTATAAACAATCTAGATAATTTGAAGAAATCTTTATGGTCAATTATTCATGCTCATTAACTATTAAATCTCTAATAAGCAAAGAGAAATAAAGAAGAACGAATATCAAAAAAGTTAATTTTCAATTTATTACTTTAGCATTCATTCTCTTTAAAATAATTCAAATAAGCCTTAATAGTAAGTTTCATGTAGAAAGAGGTTGAGGCAATGAACAATTAGATAAGTTATTGTTAACTGAACCATATAATCTAGAAATCATGTACTAAAAAGGTTATTAATTATTTCTATGTCCAGGAAATTCATTATAAAACTGAGTAATATGATATTCAATAGGTATATTGAACAAGTCTAAACAAAAATATGAAATATACTTAGATATAATCAAAATCAATCCTTTACACGAACTCTCATATTGGAAATTAGGTAATTTTTTTTCATTTATTTTTAGGTGATCTCTTAAGAGATGAAAAGCTTTATTAGTAAGCCCGATAGTATTAGTGTCAATTAATGAAAATAATTCAGCAGCCTATTTTGGAATAGGTTTTAATTCAGTAAATACTCAAGGTGAATGCTTAATTGAGGATAACTAAAAGGATAAAGCTTTACCATATTATGATAGAGCCATTTAGATAAGCCCATCTAACCAAGTTTTTTTAATATCCGAGGGTAAGGCTTCAGTTTTAAGTTTTTTGGATATTGTTTATTAATACAGAATTAATTATGATTGTAAGAAAATTAGAGAGATATGAAGAAGCTATGAAAATTTATGATAAAGTTTAAATTCTGATTCTTAAAATATAGAGGCATATGCAGTAAAAGGTAAATTTGATTTAAATAAATTAAGGGGATTTTCTAAGACTGCAAGGCAAATATTCAGATGCATGCTAATGCTATTGTTAAGCATTAAATATTAATCCATAGAAAAATGATTTATTATTTTGGATTAGTAAATTAAATTCAATTAACTAAAGGTGAATGCCTAACTTTGAGTGGTTAATACTAGGAAGCAATTGAATACTTTGATAAAGTAATAGAATTTAATTTATAAGATATACATTCATAATAGTATAATCTGCTTATAAAATTTATTGAACATACTCATTATAATGAATTTAGGTTACATAAAGAGGCATAAAAATATTTAGAATTTAACTAAAAAGAATTAATAACCATGAATTTCTGTTGTATTAAAAATGGTAAAACGATTGTTTATGACAAATTTTCTGACAAATTCTCAAAATGGATACTAATTATGCATATCTTCTAATTTTTAGAAATGTAGAAAATTTATGGCATTTAGTTTTACATATATTTTATAAAAATAATTTGATCTATTAGTCATTCCTTTTAAATTCAAAACTGCAAAAAATATTAATGTTTACTAATTGTAATATAATTTTGTTAATTGATTTAAATTATAGTACACTCTGTTTAGGT